GCTCTCATAAGGGCTGGTGTGATTGCTTCAGACCCACCTGTTTAATCCAGGATAATTTCTCCATCTCAAGATTCTTAATTTAACCACATCTGCAAAGTCTCTTTTGTCATATAAGGTAACATATTCACAGGTTCCAGAGATTAGGACTGGGAGATCTGAGGGGTGTGTGTGTGTGCATTAACTACCATACCATGCCTTTGTTTTCTTTCATTTAGTGATTCAGCAGGTAGTGAAATCTTATGTTTAAGGCTCTAATTTCCCCATTTTTCTAAATTTTAATATTCTTTCCTTCTCTCCTCTCTCCCCTGTTATGTCCTAGGGGTGGAAGATAAACAACATTAATACTACTTGTGTCGCCAAGAGCACACTGTGATAATTGTTACTTCCTCTAAGTGATTCTCTTGACTTATCTTCTGAGATTACTGGAGTCAAGAAAGACCATTTGGGCCGGGCGCTGTGGCTCACGCCTGTAATCCTAGCTCTTGGGAGGCCGAGGCGGATTGCTCAAGGTCAGGAGTTCAAAACCAGCCTGAGCAAGAGCGAGACCCCGTCTCTACTATAAATAGAAAGAAATTAATTGGCCAACTGATATATATATAAAAAATTAGCCGGGCATGGTGGCGCATGCCTGTAGTCCCAGCTACTCGGGAGGCTGAGGCAGAAGGATCACTCGAGCCCAGGAGTTTGAGGTTGCTGTGAGCTAGGCTGACGCCACGGCACTCACTCTAGCCTGGACAACAAAGCGAGACTCTGTCTCAAAAAAAAAAAAAAAAAAAAGAAAGACCATTTGGTCTTATTTTCTGTTGTTTTTTTCATTGCCATTTGTACTAAATTTTATCAATAGAAGTGGAAACTGCAGAAAAATCAAATTCTGTTGCCTTCCCTGGATAACAGAAATACAAACTTGCAGCTTCATAAGACAAGAAATGATAGTTTATTTGGTCTGTTCCCCTAACCCAAAATAGTTCAGGAAAATCAGAATTTGTTCTGTATTTTGAAATCTTCATGAACGAAATTCTACAATTTCCTTAGTCATATATTGCTGTATTTTACAGTCCTCCCTTTTAGGAGAATTCTCGAATCCTTATGTATGGACAATTTGGAATTTCTTATGTTCCTGGTGTTTGTCAAGACCTGTGAAAATGCACATCTGCATTGCTAACACATTTATTTCAATTGAAAAGGACTTCTGGTGTTTTGACCCTTGCTCTCGGTGGGGGGTGGTGCTTGGCTGTGAAGAGGGTATTTCTTCAAGATGTCAAGGTGTGAAGAGGGTGGAAGAAATGCTTGGCCAAACTGTGCTATAGTTAGTATATTCTAGCCTGATAATCATCTGTGCTGGAAAACAATCTTCTGTATTGCTGCTTGCTATGACAACGCTGCTTCTGATGAGAAATGTGGGGGCACAGTGTTCCTGCAATGCAGTTCCATTCTGCAGTCAACGAATGCTATTCCCATAGAGGTGCCACAGGGCTTCCAACCCGCTTTTGTTCATGCTCCTGAGATTTCTTGATTATGTAGTCCAAAGAAGGAAGAGAAAAGGGGTTTCAAAAAACAGAGACGCCTGCAACAAACTCAGATAGATCTATATCCTTCCATGAATCTCAGACTTTTTTTTTTTTTTAAGAGACAGGGTCTCTTGGTCTGTTGCTCAGGCTGGAGTGCACTGGTGCAATCATACTTTACTGTAACCTTGAACTCCTGGGCTCAAGGGATCCCCCTACCTCAGCCTCCCTAGTAGCTGGGACTACAGGTGTGTGCCATCATGCCCAGTTAATTTTTTAATTAATAATTTTTTTTTTTGTAGCAACAGTGTCTTGATATGTTGCCCAGGCTGGTCTCAAACTCCTGGTCTTAAGTTATCCTCCCACCTTGGCCTCCCAAAGTGCTGGGATCATAGACATGAGCCACTGCGCCCAGCTTGAATTTCAGACATTTATATCCAGTAGCAGGAGCTTCCCCGTCCCTTTCATACTCTCCAGTGCAGTACATGCTGCTTCTCAAGAGGATATTTTCAATACATCTCTCTCATGCTCTACACCTATAAAAGCTGCCTATCAAGCCTAAATTCCTCATCCTTGCATTTAAGGGCATTTAATTCAATTCCATCACCCTCACTTTTCCAACCTGAAGTCTCATCATTCCTCAGCAAAGAACCTCTTCATTAGCCAAGCTAATCTGCCCACTATTCCCAGAATATGGTTTAACTCCATGCCTTTGTCTGTGCCATCGCCCTCATATAAGCTGCTTGACTTCTTTCTTCTCTCTCAAGCCCTGCTTTCATCTCTTTTGAAACAAAATTGAAATAGATTCATTTCAGGAAACTTATCTTGACCCTGTCAGAATGATGATTCATTTGCCGGACAAACCTTCAGTGTTTTTTTTTTTTTTTAACTTAGATGGGGGTCTCACTCTTGCTCAGGCTAGTCTGGAACTCCTGAACTCAAGCAATCCTCCCACTTCAGTTTCCCAGAGTGCTAGGTTACAGGTGTGAGCCTCCAAGCCCAGCCAACCTCAGTGTTTGTCGATTCATGTACTTCTACAGGTCGAGAATTCCAAATCTGAAAATCCCAATTCCAAAATGCTCCAAAATGGTAAACTTTGTGAGTGATGACATTATGCTTAAAGGACATATAATGCAAATATTCCAAAATCTGAAAAAAAAAACAAAAACAAACCCTGAAACCCAAAACAGTTCTGGTCCCAAGCATTTTGGTTTTTCTAAAATTTTTTACTAGTTAATAAAGCTGAAGGTCCCAAACATTTTGGATTAGGGACCAACTTTTGGGTAATGGCACTCAACCTGTACTATGTATCCTTTTGTTGCTATGGTAGGCAGAATTCTTAGATGCCATTCTCCCCTAAGATTCCTGGCCCCTGGTGTACATACACACTTCTCCCAGCTATTAAATCAAACCCTAGTGTAGGTTCTGCTGTGAAGAAATTTAGCAGATGTAATTAAGGTTCCAAATTAGATGATTTTAAGAGAGGGAGATTATCCAGGGTGAACCTGACCTAATCAGACAAGCCTTTAAAGTAGACCGTGCTCTTCCTGAAAAAAAAAAAAAAAAAAAGAGAGAGATTCAGAGAGTGAGAGGGATTTTATGCAAGAGAAATTCTCTGTTGCTGACTTTGAATATGAAGTAAATTATGTGGCAAGGAAATGGGTGACCTTTGGGAGCTGAGTAAGGTCCCCAGTTGGCAGCTAGCAAGGAAATAGGGACCTCAGTCTTATAATTGCAAGGAACTGGACTTGGCCAAGAACTTGTGGTAATTTGCTAAGCAGTGATAGAAAACTGATGAGCTTGTTTTTATAGATCTTGCTTTTGTTGATTTCATATGTGTGTGTCAGTAGACTGCAAGTACTTTGGTGAGAGGAAAAGGATTTTTTAAAAAAATTTTGTACCCTCTTTGCACCACAGCCATAATGTGATGCTATTAGGGAGACTTGCCTTAATTAATATGTTGGAGTTAATGCGAGATATAAATCCTTTGCCATGAAGGAGCCTGTTGTTAAGCAGCAACTAGAATCACTACCATGCCAAGTGCCTCCTGCCTCCCATGTTAGAAACAAATCCCTGCACATCTGATATCTTCTGGACATCTTCACGTGGATGTCTCACAAGTCCCATGAACTCAGTAAGTCCCACCCAAAATTTCCTTTCCCAAATTTGTCCCTCTCCCTCTATTCCCTAATTCTGTTAATGGCACCTTCCAATCCCCCTTTATCTTGGGGTTTAGAGCTTCAGCCATTGTTGACTCCTTCCCTCAATCTTGTCCCCCACATTCAATCTGTTGCCAAGTCCTCTCCATTCACCCCCTCCTCTCCTTTATTGTCACTGCCTGGTTCAGTATCTCACACCTAGAATACTGCAAGAGTCTCTCTAGCTCCTCTCTTGGGACCAATCTCTGATTAGCACAGCTCTAATGATGTCACTTTCCTGCTAAACCACCTTTCAAGGAATCCATTAGCTTGGCATTTAAAACTCTTCACGACTTAACCCAAACCTACCTTTCTCACATTTTCAATAAATCTTAAGTGTGTATTTTGCCTACCTTCTAAGTTATTTTAGGTTGACCTTTAAAAATTTCTGCTTTAAAACTGTTATTGCTTTTGCAGGTCCTCGTACTAACTGTGACTCTTCCCTGCAACCTGCAGTTTTTCCACGTGCATCTTACCGTTACTTTTACTTCAGACCCACTGCCCTTCCAATTCTCTGCAGTCGGATATTCTCATACCTTGGACTCTTCTGAACATATAGTAGCCACTTGGCTTGTTGAACTGCCAAGGGGAAATGTGGTTCCAGAGCCAAATTGTGAGTGCCCAGAGCTTTACAAACAAACAAACAACCTTATTTTGTTTGCCTTAGGCATTCATTCCCTACCCCAGGGCACACAAACACCATTTTATTCTGGTTTCGGGAGATCATTGGCCTAAATGTTGGGATCTGAATCCTGCACATTCATCCCATAGAAAAGGGACTCACAGCCCCGTTTCATAGTAAAGTCCCATTTATTCCTTTGATTTTCAGTGATTTTAACCAGTCGCCCCCCTCCCCCTCCCCAGTCTCCTCTGTCCGCAGGGGTGTGTGCCCTAGAGTTCCCGCTTTTGGAGAACCGGTTTTGCCTCCGCCCACTCCTCCTTCCCCAAGCGTGAGGCTTCCAAACTTCTCCCCCACCCCCACCCCGCCAGCCCTCTCCTGTCCCCTGCCATAGTGCGGGCTTTAATACATGATCTGGTCTCAAAAGAAAAACCGAAAGAAAAAAAAGCAAGGAGGAAAAAAAAAAAAAAACTAAAAAGAAACAAAGCAGAAAACTTCCCAGGGTTTGTCTTAGAATCTGGACCCCGTTCCTCCACTGAACCCTCGGGAACCGTAGGCTTTCGTTTGCCCCGTGGCTCGCCTGTCACCCCCGGAGCAGCGCGGCACCACTCCCAGCCTGCTGCTGGGGTTTAATGACATAAGCAACTTTCGTCCCCCCCCCGCCCCGTCTTGGTACAGCCTGTCCGGCGTTCGCGTTCCACCCCCCTCTTTCCTTTCAGGTTGGTTCGGCCCCCGTCTACTCCGGGGTGGTGCTTAGCCGGCGCCAGACCGACCCTCGACTTCGGAGAGGCAGTGCTGTTCCTCTTGGTGCTTCCTCCTCACCTTCTTCGGCTTCTTCAGCCTCCTCGGCCTCCTTATCCGCCACAGGAACCCGAGACCCCGGTGTATGCCCCACCCCTGACCCCGCTAGAGATATGTCCACCCCGGCTCGGCGGCGCCTCATGCGGGACTTCAAGAGGTAAAGCGACATGGACCGCTGAGGCCGGGGGCTGCCAGCCGGGGCACAGGGCGGGTCCCGAGGCTGCCCGGGTAGGGTGGGGTGTGGGCAGCCGGGAGCGGACACGAGTGCCGGACTGGGGGGACCCCTGTGTATCTCTCTGAAGGTTGCAGGAGGATCCTCCAGCCGGAGTCAGCGGGGCTCCGTCCGAGAACAACATAATGGTTTGGAACGCGGTCATTTTCGGGTGAGTCTGCGTTCCAGGCGGTGGCTAGAGATGGGGGACACGAGCCGGCTCAGTGTGTCCTCCGGGCCGGGCCGCTTGGGAAGGCAGAGGGTGAAAGGGAACATGTTTGGGTCTGGCTGGGCCTAGGCACCTCCCCGGAGCCTGTGCCTCGATTAGCTCAGTTCCCGCTGCCAGGGGAACCGTTTGGGGTGCTAGGGGGGCGGGGCGGGGAGTGGTGGCGGTTAGGCGCGGCGGCCTGCTCTGTGTTTCTGAGCCCAAAACATCTATTGGTAGTGGCTTTCCGATTCCGGCAACAGTGGTTGACCAGAGGTGGAGATGGCATAGCTTGGACTAGCTGTCTCCTAAAATGAACTGGGGAGAAGGGAGCCCTTTAAGCGGGAACTGACTATTTTCCTCTGTGTTGCAGGCCTGAAGGGACCCCGTTTGAGGATGGTAAGAGAGAGTTTCTTTACCACCTTTAAGGAGCCTGATCATCAGGGTAAAGGGTTCCCAGTTATCTTTGAAGTGTCTCCTACTTAGTAACCTGCTTCTGCCTATAGCCTCTGCCTACTAAAGGGTTGAGTGCAATCCAGTGTGTGGCAAGTTGTTCTGGATATTGTCCACTTGTCTAGAACCACACCTTTTTTTTTTGCTTTCCCCTTTTTTAAAAAAAAATCTGGGTAAGGCAGGCACTTTTTAAAAGGAGCAACCATAGCACTGGTGTTAAGGATTTTTGAGGTTTGGGCTGCTATTCTCCTAAATTCAGCCACCCCCCTTCAAGATACTGATTTAGTATAAGCCCAACCAGTTGCTGACAGTCAGCAGAGACCCCAGAAACCATCTGGTTCAGAATTCTACTGCAAGGGTAGAAACAGTAGCTGCTTAATATGTATTTGTTGGATGTTGAATGGATGCAAGTATCCCTTGCACACAACTATCTGACATTCTACAATCTGATATTGAATGCCTGTTAGCCTTACATGGTCTTAAATGTTTCATTGGAGTATAATGTTGTTTCTTATTTTAAATGAATTTAAAGTGTATGCTTTCATCAAGACTTTATGACCAGTAATCTCAGAGCAGCTTCAGAATTGAGGTTAGCCTTAAGGTACCCTCTTGACCAGTGTCCAACTTACTTGAAGGTACTAAATGTACCAATAGGTATATCATTTTTAATTGATTTAGGATTAATTTTTAAAAACGTGTTGCTTTTTAAAAACTGTTTTTAGATAATTATAGATTCATGTGCAATTGCAAGAAATAATACAGACAGACTTGTATACCCTTCACCCAGTCCTCCCCCCACCCATTTGGTAATATCTTGAATGACTATACTACCATATCACAAGCAGGAAATTGACATTGATAGTTTTACATGCACTCAGTTTTGTGTATGTATGTATGTGTTTAGTTAATTGTTTTTTGAAAGTTTAATACATTTTGAAGATGATTAAAAGTATTTCAAGTCATGAAATTCTTTAATATTTGAAGCATTTAAAAAAAGAAAAGGATCTTTCTGTTACTTTTTTCTTAATGTTATATCTTCCCTCAGTCATACATAGAATTTTATACATGCACACACACACATACAAACCCCCCTCAGTTTGAAGGTGGGAGCAAAAACATTTCTGCAAACTACTTAATACATATGTTGCCAAGTTGGAATCCTTTTTGATGCTACCAGTCCTCAAAATGTTGTGAGGTAAGTCACTATCAAATAAGTCTATAATTTGTTTCAAATACTCATATTTGCCTAGGAAACTGGACAGTCACCTGAATATTTTAGTTTCCTTTCTACCTTCACCCCCAGGTAAATGTCATTGCTCTTCATGGCTGCAATAAAAAGAAATGGCAGCAGGAGAGAATGATTCTGAGGACATACTACTTTGGTGCAGTTAATCATTTGAACTGATCTGTAGCAAGGGCTAGCTAGACTTAATTTTCCTCTGCTAGATTGGTGCTAGTTTTTTTATACCTAAGCTTTATGTGCAGATTAACTGTGTATTTGCTTTAGCTCTAGTATGTTTTGTTTTCATTGGCTTCTTTTTCCCTCATTTTACTCCAACTGCTTTATGCTGGGCACAGCTTTATTAATAGTACATTGCTTTGCTAGGGATTGGCTACTTAAATATTTCAAGGGTGCTTCTCATGTTTTAAGTGGTATGAATTGAAAAGGTACTTATGGAATCCATTATTTATCTGGACTGTCTCCTTTAACATTACTAGCTCTGCTTTTGATGGTATGTATCTCCATCCAGGCATTACTGAATTAGACTAAATGACAGTACCCTTTTGTGATTCATTCTGTTGAACAGTCTGCTACCCATGGATGCTTCGTCAGATGTCTAGAACACTGTGGCTACAAAAAATACTTTTGACCATTTTTGAATACCCCTTATTTACATTTGGAGAACTTCCAGTTAGGGAAAAGACTGTTTAGGGTTAAATGACATAGTTAATTTTCCTGTTTACAATGTATTATATAAATTGAGAGCCCCCAAACTACTTTTGCTTCTTCCTTGTTAAACCATTTGTGGTGAAAGTTTCTGAGACAACCAGTCTCCAGCTAAAGAGATGAAATCTTAAGGAAAAGAACTCTTAAGGGCATTTTGATTTCACTTCACACACTTGAAGCAAGAGGAGTATGTTCTCAAGGGCTTATACTACCAAAACACTAGGAGGAAATACTTCATCATCAAAATATATTGGTATATATGCTGATTACAAAGGTTATGGAATATAATATTCTTCATCATGTTATCTAAAAATTAATGGTAATAGTAAGGTACTAGTATGCCCTTTTCATAATAGATGTATCCTTTAGAATTTGGTTATAAATATTTTCTTTTTAAAAATGAATCTCCTAAAGTCCACTAAGGGTGTTCTTAAGGTAAAGATATCTTATGCTGAAGAGTTTTGGGTAAACAGATTTTCAGTTATCAAAAAATTTGTTTTTTTTTAAAGAGATAGGGTCTCTCTATGTTGCCCAAGTTGGTCTTGAATTTGTGAATGCCTATAGGCAGAACATACACTATCTAGTTAGTTCAACCATATCACTCCTTATTGCCATATATCAGCCATTTAACACATTTACATAATTTCCCTGGTCTCTTTGTATACAGAGATTAATTGATACTTTCCTTAAAATGTTTTGGCCACCTCAGGAAGATGAACAAAATCAGTATACATTGTGTACAACAATGGTGAGGCTTAAATTTCCAGTTATTTTATAGCTTAGCCTTCTGAATATTCAGAAGGTAAGCTCTAGTGTCAAATTGCATAATGCTAATTCTAAGATTTTTAATTTCCTTAACATTTGTTTTAGATCTCAGAAATTACATTGAGGGTTGGTTGTACTAAAGAGGTTTTGATTGTTTAATGTAGCTAAAAGTAAAAAATATCCTCTTTTTAATGTGTACCTTAAATAAGATTTATGTAAGTCTTAATTTATACTCAAGTAGACACAAACAAGTTGCTTCACCTCAAGATATTAAATGAGCTGTTTTAAAAGACTTTTGATTAACTTCTTTGGTAGCTAGGTAACTTCTGGGCAAGCATTAGGCAGAAAGCTCAAGTCAAGGAATTTGTAAACCACCAACATAGGTACTCAATTTGCATTTAACTGTATTTGATGTAGGCTGGAAGGAAAATACTATTTAATATCTGAATTGTGTATTTCTTACTGATAGTGAAGTTTGGATTTTTGGTTTTTGCCTCCTTTAGCTGTGTCTAGAGATGTGAAACTTTATACTTATAGCTAAAATAATTGCTCATATTTATGGCACACTTACTTTGTGACACTATGCATATTTCCCTCATTTAAATCTCACAACAGTGCTGCTGTATGGTGGGTACTATTTTAATCTCATTTTATAGATGAGGAACTTGAGGTTTTAGTCAAGTTGAGCACCTTCCCCAAGGTTTCACAGATAGCAAGTAGCAAAATGAGGAGTTGAGCCTAGACCTGACTGCAAAGCTCATGCTCTTACCCACTGTGCTCTGCTGTTTTGCTTATGCCTTCCCTATGTATTGCTTTACAACCTTTTTTTCTTTTTTTTCGCCTCTCATACAACCTTTAGATATCATATTTAATGATGGTTTTAAGATAGCTGAGATCTCCGTGTGCTATTAAATTGGCCCAGTTTTAGAGCAATGCCTTGATGATAAATCGTTTACCTATAATTTAATCAGATTTTAACATTGATTTGAGTGTATTTACACTTGGGATACATAAGGAAGCTCAAAGCTTTGAACTCTCTAACACATTCCCACTTTTTCTTGCATATTATAATGTCATTAATACCAAAAAGGAAGAACTATACTTTCTCAAAAAGAGGACGATTTATGACCAGGTGGTGATAAAGGTGGAGTATGTTCTGAGGGAACTGTAGTATGTCTGTCTGTTCCAGAAGATTTAACTTTCTTTCCTTAGTTATAATACATAGTATCTGGCTTTCAAAAGAAAGTACTTTAGGGAGTAACAATGGTCTGAAGAACATAACATGTCTCTATATGTTGCATTTTAAATTATTCTGAAACTTTGGGACACATTCATATCAAGGGCAACTTTGTTAGCAAATTGTTTCCTATGAGCTTGCTAGTAGGAAACAAACATTTTAGTATTGTTACGTCACAGATCTAGCAGTAGAATGATCGCAGCACTCTTTTTTTTCTTAAGCAGTGATAAACTTATTAGTGGGAACAAAAAGGAAATAGATTGCTAACTCTGGAGAAACTAGTAATAATTATACTCTATCTCAACTATGGTCTATTATATTAGAATAAATTATTAAATGGAGTGGACCACGCATCATCTTATCCCAGATAGTAACTGATTCCTTTAAATTTAAAGAGATTTCAGTCAGGAAAAAACATTGCCCAGTTGTTTTCTTCAATTTATTTAACAAACACAATTTAAAATAACATTTTTTTTTCTTTTCTATTTCCAGAGATTTGCAATAGGTTGTATAAAATAACATTTTGAATCTCCCTAAATCACAACATCCTAGAGTTTTTAAGGAAGATCCACTTTGTCTATGCCTTATAAATTAGTCTATAATCTGGTATGCTTTAGGGCCTCCTGCTACCTTAGGTTGACACATATTCAAGAAAAATAATTTCATTTCACCAGTAGCACAAACAAACATCTTTAAAAAGATAAATTTGCTGGAGACATGAATGCAACCAAATGTGATTTTAAACTTATTTCTGCCATCAGTTCTCTCCATAAGTGTGAATAACTGAGTTGATTTTATAGTAAAGTACTTTATGAGTCATACTTAAGGGTTTTTGAGAGGCACTATGAAGTTTTTTCTGGCTTAAGTTCAATTAACTTTTCATCATAGAGTTGCTATTATATGAAAAGGAACCAGTTAACACTTTTATACTTATTCTCTTCTATATTAAAAATAACTTGATTATGGATTTGTATTTCCAGCATTAGTTTTTGAACCTTTGTGCTTTCATTTCTTCTAGTCCATTTAAAATCACTGGAGAGTTTAAGATGGTAGCTGACTAAAATAGGCCTTTGAGGTCTTTTGGTCTTCTCAAGGAAGAAGGCCAAATTTAAGGCTGAGTTTCTTGTCATTTTATTTTAAGGATGTTTTCGAAATGTACAGTGGCTAAAGTTACCCTGCAGACAGTAATGTTGCGTTTATAATGGCTGTCTTTAAGTTCAGGGGACAATAATGGCAAAACAAAAATATGAATCACCTTTAAATAGTTCTTAGAGCAATTCCTAGAGATATGTTTCTTACCTGGTGTCTCTTTCCTCTCTACCCTGTATCTTTGTATTATTTAATACTTGAAAAAACCCATGTAGCATTAAAAACAAAGTACTACTGAACAAAGTGATAAATACATTTTCTTAAACATTTCTTTTCTAACTACAGGAACATTTAAGCTTACAATAGAATTCACTGAAGAATATCCGAATAAACCACCTACAGTTAGATTTGTTTCTAAGATGTTTCATCCAAATGGCAAGTATCACTTTTAGTACAATATTTCAAACTATTACAATGTTTATTATGGAGTATTCCACATTTCTGTTTTCTTGTCTGTAGTGCCTGGGTACTTGTTTAGGCAGCTTGCTGCTTCCTGAAAACATGGTGGTCTATTGCCATCTTGATCTATAGTCCTAGAACTGAAGCAGTGAAGGTACTTTCCCTTTGTTTGGAGTCTAAGAGCCTCCTGATTTTGATGATCTGCGTCATTTACTTATTAAACAAAAATGAGGATACTCTTGAGGTTTTCTTTTAATGCTAGGCCAGATTGGGGTGGTCTTTTGTTGTAATTATTTTCACTAGCATTTAAAACAGTAGTTTTCAACTCTGGATGCATATCAGAATTACTATGGAACAGTTAATACAGATGCCCTGGCCCCATTACAGAACTACTGAATATTATTCTGTTGTTGAAGGCTGGGCATATAGCATATTAGAAAAGCACCACAGGTGATTCTTACTTACCATTTGGCTATTTTTTAAAATAGTAGTAAGCCTGGAACAGCTTACTTTTTATTCAGGTCAATGAAGTATTTTTCAGGGTATTAGATATTTTTATCTTTATGCCAAAATTAAACCTTGTGAACTCTGAGCTATCTTTTGTTATTTCAGATAGGAGGTACAGTTTACAAATTTGGTGGGATGAATTTCCCACAGGTCTGTGGATAGCTAGAGACCCAGTTAGAAAATGTGTATGATTTCCCAGATAATAGGATAGCCTTTTTAGAAGAATGAGCTCTAAGTATCTTCCAGTTTTATATGGATCACATTTGACATTCTCTCATCATCCTGATTATTTCACTAGTGATGATAGTGACTCATCTTTTTTTAGGCAGTTAACTGGGAAGCAGCCTAAGAATCTTTAAATTAAAAAGTAAAGTATCCTTGACAAATTTTGTTTTGACTATAATGTTAAAACCTTAGTGATCTTGTTATGTTTAACATACCTACTTCTATAGTCTATGCAGATGGTAGTATATGTCTGGATATACTTCAGAATCGTTGGAGTCCAACTTATGATGTGTCTTCCATTTTAACATCTATACAGGTGAAATTTTCTTTAATGTGATGACTTTTAATATGTTTATATTAGCAATTGAATTGTTTTTGAAGGTCATAATAGACTTTTTAATTTTGGGCCAAAGCTTATTGGTTTTATAGATAAAATGTAGACCATTAAGACCCAAATCACCAGAAAAAAAAAATATATATATATATATATATTTGCCCAGCTACTAGCACATTAATGTAACTAAGTTTGTATGCTAAAGACAACAAATATAGCTGTTACTTTGGACAATTCAATTGAATGTCATTACCTTATAAGATAGTTGTTTGTTTTGAACATATATTTTTTTGCATTAAGGAACTGACATTTTACAAATTGTCTCTCTAGTCTCTATTGGATGAACCCAATCCCAATAGTCCAGCAAACAGCCAGGCTGCTCAGCTGTACCAAGAGAACAAGCGGGAATATGAAAAGCGTGTTTCTGCAATAGTAGAACAGAGCTGGCGTGATTGTTGACCCTGGGTGCAGCAAAAGAGGCTGCCTATCAGAAAAAATATATATTGATGTGTTTGTCACCTTCCTATTCTTCAGTGTCATTACATTGACTTTATTAAAAGCAAAATAGCTGTTGTGCTGTTTCCATCTTCCCTTGCCAAGCTTTTCCTGCCCGTTCTACCTTCTCCTTGAACATCAGAAAACACCCTCTATGAAATCAAATGTACTGTACCTGGGTTACTTGCAAAAATTACTAATGCTTAATTCCTTTTCTGTTGTATCTCATCTACAGTCAGTCTTAGGGCAGTTTTGTTACTGTGCTTTACACTAAGCTTTTAAAATGATGTTATACAAGTGGTGCTTATGCATAGCTTGATGACCAGGATGTTATTTTTAACAAAATGATTGCTGAAGTGTTTCATCCTGGCTGGTCCTTCACTTGTGTTGGATTTAGGAGTGAATGTCTTTATAATATGGCCTGTAGAAAACAGAAATAAATCCATGTAAACATCAATTTTGAAAGAGGAATGGAGACTAAAAATCTTACAATGCTAAGATTTAAGCAATATGAATTACAAGATGGTATTTACTGGTAGTCAGGAGAATGTTGAAGGACTCAGCCAAAGGAGTACAGCAATTGTAGTAACTGACACATTCTCTCCTTGGGAGATACTGACTGGACACACCTGTGCTGTGTCAATACTTGTGTTCTGGGTTTTTGCTTTTTTTAAAGAGGTGTAGGAGCAGAGAAATGGAAACAATCATCAGTTTTTGAGCTAGGGAAAGTTGGAGATCCTTTAATCTTTTTAAAGGAGCAGTGCTGCCCTAGATGAACAAACTTAATAATCCTCAATCTTTTTTTAAAATTTTTGATTAATTTAAGGAAGGGAGCATATTTGTGACAAACTATTTTCCACTCAAATCCTGAGTTACTGCTGCATGCTTTAGTTTTTTCTCTTTCAGCGTTATGAGAACCTTAAAGCCGATGTCTGGAATCTTTCTTTGGATATTTATACTTTTAAATATATAATACCTTTAAGTAGCAGTGTGGGACAAGGCTTGTAAATGTCTAATGTTCTATTGTCACCTTTTATGCATTTATCACTCTTCCAACTCTAACTTTGCACAAGTAACCCATGTAAAAAATGTACATTTTTCAAAACTTGTAAATAAAAATAACCTTAAAATTTCATAGTCAAAGTATAATTATATTTTAGTTCAGTATAAACTTTAAAGTTTTGGGGGATATGATATCTACTCATTTCCCCCTTGAACATTATGGTAAAAGCAAAAATACTCATTCTGGGAGTAGAAAAGAGAAGACAGTAGATACTGTTGTAGAGAACCTTTTTTCTTTTCAGTCCTAAGTGGTAATGCTTTTTTAACATTTCAACAATATTAAAGAAAGCTACTTTAGTATACATTATGGTAAGTCAAGAGAATAAAATTGTGACAAGAGGGGAGGAGAAAAACCTGGGTATTTACCAGCAACCTCAGAGACCAAGCTCTAACTTAATCTTGACATTCCACATCTTTAAAAGCACTAGCTTAAAAACAAACAACACCAAACTATTATAAAATGATGTTTTGAATCCTACATAAAGTTTGGGAGTATAGGTATCCTCAATCATCTTGTTTAAAAAACTCTGATTTCTTCTGAGGAGCAACTCATCTTTGAAGAGACAAAGGACAATAACTTTGTAAAAACTATCACCCCTTAGTACTTGTTTGGGTGGTGTTTGCTAAGTGAAATTATGTCCTTATGATGCATGTACCCCACTCATCCTTCAAGATATGGTACTTAGGCCTCAATTTGGGGGAGCTGGATCTACACTAATTACCACATTAATCGAATTGTTTCACCTAGCAGCAATGTCCTTACATGTGCTTAATATTTTCCCTCAAGTCCATTTCTGCCTCAAAGGAGAACATTAAATTGGTTTTTACTTGTTCGATTAGTCTTAATTTTTTCATCCTGATATGGCTGGGCATCTTAAATATTGCCACTATTAATTATACCCCCCAAAATTTAAGGTGACACTAGGAATGGACAGATTTAATAACTTTTACTTTTGTACACCTCCTGAGAAACACTATTCCCAATCTCTTTCATGGGCTAATCCTTTTAAAACCTTACAACAGAGCCAACAAGCTGAACTCCCAAAACATATATCCATAGTCAAAGGAACCACAAGCCATTCATTTGAAAGTTTAATGCTAATTGCCTTTTCCCCCTTTTACAATTCTTAACAAACATCACAAGCTGCCTGCACGTAATAATTATAACAAAGTTAACTAAAACAGATTTGCAAGGTCCCTTTCCAAATGGCAGTCACATTTGAACTGGAGTTTTCAATTCTGCACCTGCTGATGTGGAGAGGGGGGTATGATGAAGAATCAAAGTTGTAATTAGAGTCCTTTATTTAGGACCCATCTCCAGCTTCAGGGGTTACTCATAGCAAAGAGAATGCATTGTATAATACTAAAAAAAAGAAAAAACCGGCGGGCCGCGGTGGCTCACGCCTGTAATCCTAGCACTCTGGGAGGCCGAGGCAGGCGGATTGCTCAAGGTCGGGAGTTCGAAAGCAGCCTGAGTGAGACCCCATCTCTACTAAAAATAGAAAGAAATTAATTGACCAACTAAAAGTATATATACAAAAAATTAGCCAGGCATGGTGGTGCATGCCTGTAGTCCCAGCTACTCGGGAGGCTGAGGCAGGAGGATCACTTGAGCCCAGGAGTTTGAGGTTGCTGTGAGCTAGGCTGACGCCACGGCACTCACTCTAGCCTGGGCAACAAAAGTGAGACTCTGTCTCAAAAAAAAAAAAAAAAAAAAAAAAAAAAAAAGAAACCCAACAATGCATGATATTTCCATTTATTTTGTAATCAAAGGGGAAGAAAAAAATCCAAGAAGTAGATCTGTGAGACTCAATGCTATATATAAAATTGAAAGCGTTAGTTCCTCAGTATAACATATTTAATCCAAATAAAACTTGAAATTGCTCACATACCTGGGCAGGTTTTATAGCAAGGTTAATGGGTTTTAAACAATTGCTATTTCAAAGAAAGAAAAATACAGGAACCAACTAAGAGGACAAAATGGAACAACAGCAAGGTTGCCATCAGGTCATTCTTGCCAACCCCCTTTCTCGTGATTATTTCATCATCAAGCAGAGTTAAGTGATTTCACTCTAATTCTGCATCAGTACCAAAACTGATCTAAGAGATTAGGGAATTTGGACCCTTAAATCCAGGAACCAAATTTGTATATACTTGGCCCAATATTTTGTGAGCTTTCCTTACCATAACTACCTTAATATTCTGTTGGACTCACCTAAATAAATCAGATTTATATGCCACATTTCCCTACTTTTTCCTTCCAAAAAAAATCACTGGGTGTGGGGAAGAAAGAAATGTACACAGACATGAATCAAGTTTTCACATCCCTTAATCCCCAAAGCCACTCTTACTCAGAGAACTGAAGACAGGTTTTTCTAACTCACTAAATGAACCATAGCTTCTCAAGGTTGGCATGAATGTTGCAGGTAATAAGAAATCGTATTAAAAACCTTTAAGGGTGTAAAAAAATAAATAAAAAAGTAATTTAAAAATTAAAAAAAGAAATTGTAGTCCCATAAAATCTATAAAGATTTTAGCTTAGTTCATTTTGCCATTGTTAAAATATTAAGTGCCAAAATAAAATGCACACCTCATTTCTCTTTCTACCAACATTAGGAAAGGCTACACCATGCTGTATAAAGATGGTTAATGGAAAGGAAATTATCACACACTGTGTCAGTCACTGTAGGTGACTACAAGTTTCAGAGATCCAGGAGTAGAGATTAATCCTTTAACATTTTAAAAATATTCATTTAACTATGGTGGACAGCTTAATTGTAAAATAGAAAAAAACAGGGGAAAGGAAATTACCGTTTATTATGGGCCAATTACATGTCAAGTATGGTGCTAAATGTTTTAAGACACTATAACCTAATTCTCCTGAACATCATCCCATTGGAGGTGTTTAACCATCAATATTAATATTCATCTGTGCTGTTATATGTGAGGTTATACTTGATTTATTTGACATAAAAAACCAAAATCACATAAAAATGAACAGCCAAAGATTTGGCTAAAGCCAGCATGTTGGTCCATAGGAAAAAAAACCATGATGGATAAGTGATTCCTATCTGTTCTTCTCTATAAAATCATTGTGTTTATCCACATGTGCTCTGGTATTGAAATATTTTGTGCAAACACCACTCTCCTTTTCCAAAGACCCAAAGTGTCGCTACTAGGCTGCTGCCCAGAAATAAGCACACCACTTTTTGATCAACTTTGGCTCCTTTTTATTCTGGAAGCATACACTAATTCTTTTTTATACATTTTCTTTTTACATTCCAGAAATAAGCGAAAATAGCAGTTTTTAAATATGTTACAAAGTTGGCTTTTCAGGCTTAATAAGCTTTTTGAGAGAGGGACCAGCCAACTGACCTTTTCATCAAAGCACCAATGTATCTTCAGTCTTTTACCAAGCTCTACCACAGCTGTGGTTGCCTTGGATGTGCTGCACACCCAAACCATGTGAAAGCTATAATGGAGAGTTGCTGTGAGTCTCTCTGCAAGGCACCAAGAACAAACAGTTCAAGCTTCCTTTCTTCAGACTGAATCAAAGTTTTTGAAACTTTTCAACTGCTCTCTCAAGTAGTGCTCTCTCAGCATGAAGACTAGAATTTGTTAAAATTTACATATCACAAGATACAGTAAATCAATTCCAATATTCTGGAAATCACATGGTAGAAGTTATAAATAAATGAACATTAAAATTACTTAAGAAAGTTTTACATCATTTAGTTGATAAGGACATTTACATATACAGCACATTTTACTGTTAAACATTCTATAACTGGCTTCACACAAAGATGAAAATAGATAATACAAAATGATGTGACATTTTCAGTTAAGTTTGGAATTAAGACTGGAGTTTTACTGCAGTCAATATCAACTTTACATATTGTTGCAGATTGCTGTGCTATGCCCTTTAAAATGAGAATTTCTTCCTTGGGGTGAAATCCCATTTGGCTATGTGTTCTTGCTTGTACAAACTACTAAAATCTGAGGGACACAGCAATATCAAAGACACAAACAGTAACTGCACAATATCATCTGCTGGATTAAGCTAATACAAGTGGACAAAATAGTTTCCAATATCTAACAAAGCGCTATATGAAATGAACAAGGTGAGACATCTTAAGAATGAATATACTCTGCAACCAGAACATGTAGCATTTAATTTATAAATCTGCCTCATTAGGCATTTACAAAATAAATTACTAAGCTCTCAATTTGCTTGAGGCATGACAAGCTCATAATGCCCCACTTGGCCTTCCTGTTTGAGCTGATCTAATAGGTCTTCCTTCCGTCTTTTTCTACCTACCACCAGGTACCTATCATGGCCCACCCCATGAGACTTACTCTTAAGACCATACTTCTGGGCAATCTGATGTATTTGCTTCCGTTCATCATTAGTCAGCTCTCTAGAGAAAGTCAAATCTGTGTGGCTCTCAGAGCGCGCATAGTTTCTGATGATCTGTTCAATATCTCTCTTGGCAATTTTATTTACCCTCTCCACATCCAGACCAAGCCCTTCACGCTTATGCTGCTCTTTGACTGAGATGGGCTCCCGTATGCCCTCGCCAGATTTCCCTAACCCACCACCAGTCCAACCCATCTTTCTCAGCAGCTGATTTCCTATGTTATCTTCTTTGATTTGTTGTTTGTAAGCTTCTGCTGCCGAGCGACCCTGAATTTCATTTCTTGAAATCACATCTTCAACAGTCCCTTTCTTCAAGTTGTTAATGACAGTTGGCTGGGTCTTTTTGAGGGTTTTCACAGCTTCCCCAGCAGCTTCGTATTTGACAGTTTTCTTCACCCCAACTGCTTCTGCAATTACTTCACTCTCTAGAATCACCTTGCATTTCCAGCGGAGGCCTGTCATCCTTTCATAGACATATTCAACTGTCATTCGGTTAAACTGAGCTGTGTCGTTCAGTGTGCACACAGGATTTGAAGAATTCTCGTAAACTACAAGATCCTTTATATCTTTCTTCTTTCCAGATCCTCTGGGTGAAGAGCCTGTATGGCACTGTGAACTTTTGACAGATGGGTAAGTGGGTTGTGTTTTCTGAAGAATTTTCAAAGCCTCGTCAGCAGCTGCATGTTTACTTGTTTTCTTGGTTCCATAACCTTCAGCTAAGCAGTGATCTTGCAAAAACACTCGACAACGCCACGTGCGATTTGGCATCATCTCGTATTTGTATTCTACTGACATTTTGTTGAATGAGGCAGAATTGTTAAGGATACCAATTGCATCGTTTGCATTTTCTGTGATGACAAAATTGGTCCAGTGTTTGGCAGAAGCATTAAAAATTGGCTGCCCAGAAGCATCTTTACCCAGCACCGCCAGGTCTTCTGGCGGTTTCAGAGCTGGAGGAAATTCATACAGAGGCATGCCAACCTGACATACCACAAGGTCCTCTCCAAATGTGTGCTTGAATTTTCTCCGGACAACTCTAACTTCAATACGTTTCTGCAACAGTTTTACAGCTAGCTCAGTAGCTCGATCCCTGGACCCATTCTTGCTGCCAGCATAACCTGTAGTTAAGTAGATATTCTGGCATCTAACTTCACAAGCATAACCATCTGTTAGAAGTTTTTTATTTTTGGGAATGTCAGCAGGAGGGATTTCTTTTAAAGGAACGTATATATACTCAGGATTTGTCTTACATGCCTGAATACACCGAGTTAACATATATGTATAATTAATTTTATCAGATCCAGAAGTCATCTCTGGATTAGAAAGGTTCTTCCAGATCGTCGCTGTTAATTTTTCAATAAAATACTGCTTCTCAGATATCACTGACTCAGGAAATGTCTGTGATGGTGAAGGCTCGGGAGGTGACTGAGAGTTTGCCTGCTGTGATGTGCTGCTTGGGGCAGGGTTCCCACTGTCAAAATACATGTTGGTTGTAACAGGCCGGTCTTTTGTGAAAATAAATCCTGATGAATCACAATACTGAGAATTCCCATCTTGTGTATTGAAAGAGTCTTGAGTATAATCTTGGTAGATGTCTCTTGGCATGCTGGCAAAATGTGTTTGTTCATTTACCTCTTTTGTTTGAGGGCCATAAGGATCTTCCTGTCTTTCATCTTTTGAACTACTAGCTACAAAATGTACAGGCTCAAAACGAGGTCTCGCATGGTATTTGGAACCGGCTTGCTTTTTAGGAGGATTTTGACCTAAAGAATGAGTGAAATTTACAATTCATTAAAATGGGAATATTTCAAAAGAACCAAGCAGGAACATAGTACCAACCATATTATTTGCAAGCTGCATTGTTGGTACAAGATACTTCTCGTTATAAAAATTTCAGGTAAGGCCGGGCGTGGTGGCTCACGCCTGTAATCTTAGCACTCTGGGAGGCCAAGGCGGGCGGATCGCTCGAGGTCAGGAGTTCAAAACCAGCCTGAGCGAGACCCCATCTCTACTAAAAAAAAAAAATCGAAAGAAACTAATTGACAAACTAAAAATATATATACAAAAAAAAAAATTAGCCAGGCATGGTGGCGCATGCCTGTAGTCCCAGCTACTCGGGAGGCTGAGGCAGGAGGATCGCTTGAGCCTAAGAGATTGAGGTTGCTGTGAGCTAGGCTGACGCCACGGCACTCACCCTAGCCTGGGCAACAAAGTGAGACTCTGTCTCAAAAAAAAAAAAAAAATTTCAGGTCATTTGGGTGAAGGGACTCAAATATCAATGTAAGATTCCAGCATAAGGAGGGATGCTCCCTGTCCTTCCATGTGTAAAGGAAGACTCCTGATAGAAAATATAACATTGAATCAAGTATGCAGGTCACCACCACATATGACTGGTAGATGCTTTTGCATCAAATGAGCTAAAGCACAGGTGAAGTGTACTCTTCACCTGGACTGGAAGGTGAAGTGGATTGGAAGGTTGTTCCAGTACAATCTCACACCACCTGCGCTGAAAAGCTCACTTGAGGATTACAAATGGAACAAATGGCTCTAATGCAACACAGATGATGACCAGAGGCAGTTACAAAGCCTTCTCTCTTGTATCAGAGCTGATTGACTCTGTGATGGTGCTTTACATAGCTGTGACTAAAAATCAAAGAAAAAGAATTATCAAAAGATTCCAAAGGTTTTCAACTTCAAAACCTTAGTTCTGACCCATTCTGAACAAAAGAATGTTTGCTATATTTTATTTCTAGAACATCTGGAAACTAATGATTTATTGGGAATATCAAATTTAAAGCTATGGAAGAACTCTGTTGAGGCTATACCAGACACTAGAGTTTCCTCCCTATAACACTGCTCAGTAGAAAGCTGGTCCATCCAGGACCCATCCAAGAGGATTTAGTTACTCAGATGCTCAAATGATCACAGTATAAGATTCTATTTAGAGGGAGGTTCCATGGCACAGACTTCAAAAATTGCATAGCATCACTTCAGTATTCTTAGTTTTCAGTTCTATTTTGCATCCTCAAAAAAACTGTACATAACTAAAAACTAAACTCTTACCCGTGTGTAAGAACCAATGTTACCAATGCCATTAAAAATCATATACCACATTCATATCATTAAAAAAAAGCCATGTGGTTTCTTCAAATCCCACCTTCCAGAAACAAATATACTCACCATCACATGTTGAGAGGTGGCGTTTTTGACCTTTGGAAGGTTTGGACAGCATCAGATCATATGAAGGCATCTCCCCAATATCAATACCTTCAGCCATTTGGAGAATTTTTTCCATCAAGCGTGGGCTGTATCTATATAAATTAATATAATCTACAGTTAAAACAGGAAAGAATGCAGTTTTTTAAAAAAAGTTTCTAAATGAGCCAGTCTTATAATTGCTCCCACAGGACTTTATCAACAGGGTATCCTAGCTATAAAACCAAAGAATCAGCCCTAAAATACTTATCTGTCAAATGAGTAATTATGTTACTAATTAGGAATCAAGACTTTTCACCAGAAGACATACAAATATAAAAATCAAGAAATTTCAGCAAAAATCTTATCTTAAATTTGAATTGAAAATATCAATATAAATTGATGATTTATTTTTCCCTTTCATATATGTGAATTATATGTAAATAATTACATTTATAAAAGCACTAAGAGTGTTAAGAGCTGCTGGGTTGTTAACATCCTGATTGTGGTCTCTATCATTTCTCATGAAAAGGAATCAGTCCTTAGAGAAATGGCTGATTCCAAGTCTGGAGCAGGAAATGTCTACGATGAACCCGGGAGATTTTCTTGTGCCTAAAAACAAGGAAATTATCAAAGACCACAGGGTTTGTGTCAAATGGACTCAGGAGTCAATATGAATAGATTCCTACTGGCAAAGTGACCCGACTTGAGTATCAATAAGAACAATAACTGCAATGGATTAAAACACATAAATAATGTTGAAAATCCATTGGTTCATAATGATACTTACAAACTCATTGGTTACCTTTGGAGGATGGAGGGAATCAAGTCATCATTCTGCAAACAGGTAAATATGAAAGGAAGAAGGCAAGCATTTATCCTGTATTTTCCTGCAAATTGTATTTCAGAGCAATCAAAGAGTTGAGGAAAATCTCTTTTACAGAAGCATTCCAGCTAATAAATGAAGGAATGATAAACTACAACCATTTTGCAATGCATAGTAAAATTAAAAATGATCAATGGCTGCTAAACCTATCAGGTGAAAAGTTGATGGGGGAGAACCCAGAACTAGACCCAAATATTCTCAAGTGATTGTTGACAAAGAAGCCAAAGTGATTCAATGGAGGAAGGATAGCCTTTTCCACAAATGGTATGGGAACAAATGGGCATTCACAGGCAACACAACAAAAACCCCACAACCTAAGCCTTACAAAAACTAACTCAAAATGCATCATGGACCTCAATGTAAAACTATAAAACTTTTATAAAAAACACACGAGAAAATCTGAAAGGATCTAGGGCTAGGAAAACAGTTCTTAGACTTGAGACCAAAAGCACGATCCATAAAAAGACATGGTGACAAAATGGACCTCATCAAAATTAAAAACTTTTGCTCTTGAAAGACCCTGTAAAGAGGATGAAGAGACAAGCTACACACTAGGAGAAAATATTTGCAAACCACATATTCCTACTGGCAAAATGAGCCAACTTGAGTATCCTTTGCAACAAAGGACTATAGTATCTAGTATGAAGACCTAAGAACTCAATAGTTTAAAAAAATCAAATTAAAAAATGAACAAAGGACATGAAAAGAACATTTTATTAAAGAGGACAGATCACAAATAAGCACATGAAAAGATGTCCAACATCATTAGCCACCAGGGAAATGCAATTTAAACCCACAATGAGATACTGCTATACACCTATCAGAATGATCAAAATTAAAAACAGCGACAATACCAACTGCTGGCAAAAAAAGAAGAGAAACCGGATCACTCAGATATTGCTGGTAGGAATGGAAAATGGTATCGTCACTGTGGAAAAACAATTTAGCAGTTTATTTTGAAATTAAACATCAATTATCAGTTGATCCAGCAATTATGCTCCTGGACATTTATCCTAGATAAATGAAAACTTATATTCACACAAAAACTTGTACATAAATATTCACAGCAGCTTTATTTGTAACAGCCCCAAATTGCAATCAGCCTAGATGTTCTTCAACAGGTGAATGGTGTATGGACCTTGATTGGATCATGAATCAAACCAACTGCAAAAAGACACCATGACAAATTGAGGAAACTGAACATGGAGTAGGCATTGGATTTTAAGAAATTATTATTAATTTTACTGAGTATAAACTAATGGCATTGTGAGGATTTAAAAAAATCCTTATCTGATACAGATACATACTAAACTATTTACAGGTGAAATGATGGCAAGATTTTCTTTAATATACTCCAGACTATTCCCCACACAAAAAAACTAGGGTAGAATAGATGAAATAAAAGAAGGGTAGCAAGACAGACTGTTCACAACTGCTGAATGATGGGTACATGGGAGTTCATTAAACTCTTCTCTACTTCTGTGTATCTGAAATTTTACATAATAAAAATTTTAAAATATACAATTTAAAAAATGACTCCTTATGAAATAGATTGGCTGCTTGACAGAATAGCATTTTTCTGCAGAGAAATAAAAACATAGGCTCAAATGATGTTTCTGTTATCATAGGTACCTGCTCACCCTTCCTACTTTCAGAGCCTTTCCCCACCTATGACCAAAAAAGAGACTCCTGGTAGCATTTGGAAAGAAAGTTCTGAAAATGAGTAACTATCACATCTTTATAACTATCACATTTCTTACAACTGAATGAATAGTTTCTGAACTTGAAGGAAAGTAACAGATTTCATTTTCAGCACAATAGGTTCCAGACCTACCAGACATCTTCCCTTGTAAAGCAGAAGTCAAGATACGGTGGCTCTCCCTGACACATTACTGGAAGCTAGCTCAGGTGTAACCTGCACTTCCTACTGGTAACTGCTGCTGCTACCAAAGCTGGTACTGCAACCGAGCCACTCACCTTGAATTCCAGTCAAAATTCTCCAGGCCTTCAATTAGAGCCTGATTTCCAAGTATGGTGTACAATTGCAAATGGCATGTATGTCTTACAGTGTGCATGAATGATGCATTTGGGGCTCACTCCATTCACATTCACTCTACTCTCGGGTTTCTTCCAGCATTAGTAATTATTATACCTACTGACTGTTCCATTCCAATTACATCTGCCACAAAATTCAACATCGCTCATAAGGTTATAAAAATAAATCTTTGTGTAGGCTGCCACCTCAGTCAGATTCTCTGTCCTTTGTCAGAAAGCCATAATACTGCAGAAGCCCAATCAGCTTAAACAATAATGAAAAAGACCATATAGTACCTAACACTTGACTATTTGAACAATGCAAATATTAATCTACAGTTTTTAATAAGAAGGTCACTAGGATTTCATCCCTATTTTTAAAATTATCCAGAGTAGCTATTCAAGGATAAAGAAAATGGTTCCACAAATTTGAAATAAGCCAATGAAGTAAAGTTTTCATTATACAGTTTTCCTTGGTGTATTTTTTATAATATACTTAAAAGTAACACCTTCAACACCAGAAATTTTAGAAAATCCAAGAAAAGCACCTACAACCCAACCACTGATAACTTTATTAATTTGTTGAGGGTTTTTTTTTATTCCTTTTCTATGTTTTCCCATATGCCTTCCCCCCTAAAAAAATCACTAGCAGATGATCTATGTTAATTTGCAATTTGGTGGGGTTTTTGGTTCTTACTATACCATAAGCTTTTTCTTCACATCCTTACCATATGGGTTCTAATGGCTATACATCTTTTTTTTTTTTTTTTTTGAGACAGAGTCTCACTTTGTTGCCCAGGCTAGAGTGAGTGCCATGGCGTCAGCCTAGCTCACAGCAACCTCAAACTCCTGGGCTCAAGCGATCCTCCTGCCTCAGCCTCTCGAGTAACTGGGACTACAGGCGTGCGCCACTATGCCTGGCTAATTTTTTCTATATATGTATTAGTTGGCCAATTAATTTCTTTCTATTTATAGTAGAGACGGGGTCTCGCTCTTGCTCAGGCTGGTTTTGAACTCCTGACCTTGAGCAATCCACCCGCCTCGGCCTCCTAGAGTGCTAGGATTACAGGCGTGAGCCACTGCACCCAGCGGGCTATACATCTTATATGAATGAAATAAGATGTAAGATATCATAAGGCAAGTCTGATATAGTAATTTTAAGATGCATGCATATTATTATTATATATTTAAATCTGTTATGTTACTCATTTGGTTGTAAACGCTTAAAAAAGAAAACCAAAGCACCCCAATAGGTCTTATGGTTTTCAAAGGTAGCTTATAATGTACCAAGCTTTTGGAAACAAGGATGCTATTCACCATGTCAAGCATATAAAAAGATGATTTCTAAGAGACAAAAACATCTGTCTTCATGAATCTTACATTCTTAGACACAAGAGAGGTGCATATACATGCATACCTACAAGAAGAACATAAACCATTATAATATCCAATCACACCTGAAATTTAAAAAATATTCAGTAATACTTATGAAAAATTTTAAAAATATATTAAAGTGTTCTACTATGCCCAAATAAAAGCTAGGATTTTAAAATTAAGCAAAGATTAGGGTTTCCAAGTATAAAATTCCTTATTCAAAACAATTCGTAAGACTCCTAATGTCTTAAGTGAATAACATACAACCACATGAGTGATAATCTTTCAAAAGCTCCCACTCCCATTTCATGAGCTGGTGACTTATGCACTCTCGCTACTATGTGCAGAGTTAGTTTGCCACCATGAGTCCAATTGGCATCTACCTTCCAAACACCGGTCTCCTATCAGGAAGAGAGAAATAATCAAGGGAGCAAAGCTGGTTTCATTTTAAGATATATTTTGTCTATTAATTAATGTGTCATCAGAGATGAATAGGACAGGATTCTGCTTCTAATCTTACTGATCAAGAATGGTTGGAAAATTGAATGTTCCAGTTAATCATTCTGCCTTATTAAATAAATATATAATATATATATATTTAAATCTACAACTGTCAAGTGAAAATTGCAGGTCTTTAGGCATTCACATGAGCAATTATTTAAGTTCTATAGATGGTAGTTGATTAGAAAAGTGACCTAATTTTTCATTAGCCACAAGACTTATGGTTTCAGAAAATGTTCTCAATAAGTTGTTTACATTTGCAAAACAGATAAATGAAAGAATGAAGAGAAATAATCCCAGCTATTTGGGCTTCCTGGTTGCCTGGACAATGAAGGGGGAAAATGAATAAAAGCAGACTGGAAAAACATTGCTTTATTTTATCCTATAAAGCAGCAGTTCTCAGAGTGTTGATCCTTGGATCAGCAACATCAGCATCACCTGGGAACTTGTCAATGTAAATTCTGGGGTCCTACCTCAGACCTACTGAATCAGAAACCCTGAAAGTGAGACACAGTCTCACTTTGTTGCCCAGGCTAGAGTGAGTGCCGTGGCATCAGCCTAGCTCACAGCAACCTCAATCTCCTGAGCTCACCCGTCTAATTTTTTGTATATATATTTTTAGTTGGTCAATTAATTTCTTTCTATTTTTAGTAGAGATGGGATCTCGCTCAGGCTGGTTTCGAACTCCTGACCTCGAGCAATCCGCCCGCCTCAGCCTCCCAGAGTGCTAGGATTACAGGCATGAGCCACCCCACCAGGCTTCAGCAATCTTCATTTTAACAAGCCTAACATATTTTGATGTGTACTTAAGTTTAAGAACCAAAAAAGTCAAGAATAATTCAAACTTGTTCTAGGGAAACCACCACTATCACCAAAAGAAATGGTTTGTCCTGCTTCCCTGCACATTTGAGCTCCTCTTGGCTTGGTCTTATGATCAAGGAATTTTCAAAAATATCTTTGACCTTGGAGTTTATTTCAGCCCTAAGTAAAGTAAACTGGACGCAGAAAGTCCTGCCAGAGGGAAAAAGTGAAAAGTTTCCCTTTTGCTACTGTTCACACCCAGCAACAAATTAGGAATTTCAATTTAAGTTTAGAAAGAGCATTTCACTATGTATTCTGCAGTCCAATTGACAGAAGTGTATTCTGTCACAGAAAACAAGAGCTCTGGCAACAACATGTACAGGAATACAGGTTTTACCGACCGGGACACAAGAGCTAACATAAAGCCTGCCTAAAGCAGAGACTACACTTGTGTCCCTACGCCCAAGATTCTTTATAGGCCCTTTCTTTTCTCCTTTAAGTTATCAGATATAATGCAAACATTAATGTTCAGTTAAGCTATTTGATAATGTTATGGCAATTCTCGTATTGAATGAACTGACTTAGCTATGACATAACATGACTATAGTATATATAATATGCACACATGCACACACACAAAAACCCTGGGATGCTTGAGTTTTTAACACCAACTACTGTTGCCTGGTTTGTGTTTTTAATACTCTGCTTATGTACAAGGCTGCTGTTCTTAGAATGAAATCCTGAGTATAACGATGTGGCTTATCCCAGTTGCTTTCACTTCTGGGGTCCATCTTTCCCAAATATGGTAGCTGTGTCTCAGTGGAAGAGCATCAGACTGGACATCAGGAGACCTGGGTCCTAGCCAACTGTGGGACCTTGGACACGTTACTTAACTTCTTGGCCTGCACTGATATAGCTGTAAAAATGAGACACCACCTAGTCCCCAAGATTTTTGTAGTAAGTGAGATCATAAATATTAAATATGGTGTTACTTATAAAGTTGTATACATCTATTCACTCCACACATATTTACTGAGCAGCTAATACAGCAGACAATCTTCCTAGGTACTGAGGATGAAGGTTTGAACCAGAAAGCAAAAGCCCCTTCCCCAAGGGAGCATACATTTTAGTGGGAAGGTAAGATTTATTATTAACACAAAGAAAGGTTACTCTCTCTCCCCTATTTAAGATTTATTTATTTTTTAGGATTCAGATTCCCAGGCCTTCTGTGATATTAAGGAGAGTTATTATAGGATTAAGGTACCTTTTCAACTCAAGAGCAACATTGTTAGGTGAAGGTCAATTAGATTTATCTGATTTGATTAATAACTAAGGCTCCCAGTTTTTTTTTTTTTTAAGACTAGTCAAGTGCAGTAGTGAGGAGGGGGGAAAGTAGTAGAACAAGGAGTTCAATCTGTAACTGACTGTGAACAATCAAGTGAGATCAGTTCCTCCCATGAAATAATCATTACCTCTGGAGGTAGAAATTATGCTAACCTAGAGAAGATAGAAAATAATAAACTTCTGTGATAAGAGCAAAGCAAAATATATCACACTGGATGTGACGTTCAACAATTAAGGGTAGGAGTGAACAATCTTATTTTTCTGCATCTGTAACAGTCATTCCTGGAACTGAACTGGTCGAATCTGATCTGATCATTTTCCAGAATTTCTCATCCTTCCTTATAAAATATTGACTGCGAGGCAGTAATGTATGTGTATGTATGTATGTGTGTGTGTGTGTATATTATATACGTGTATAGCCCCCTGGTTTACCAAAAGAATGATTAGTCTAGTATAGGGCTGATTTGGGGGTTCTGAAAGAGAGAGGTCCAAGTAGCGTGTTAAAAAAAAATGCGTTGGCACCATACTGCAGTCTCCATGGAATGCAAAGAGCTTTCAAAGAGGCCTGTTCAGAACGTCACCAGGTTCTATGAAATGGGGAAAAAAACAAACACAAACACCACCACCCCAAATCTCACCTAGAGGGCAAATGTTAACCCATCTTATCCCACTTAAGATAAAAAGAGGGCAATCCATTTTTATAGTAGCTATATCCATTTCTTTGTTTGAGTCCAGACACATTATGCGCAAATCTACAAGCAAGACTGACGCTGCGGCTCAGAGAGCTGATACGTACCGCCTCCCCAGAAGACAGTAAGACCCAGATAGGGGACTGTAAAGTAGAGGGGGGTGTTTTATTTTACCGGGATGAAAGAAGAGAGTGGTCAGGAGGAGACCAGGACTGGAACCTCGGGGCACCCTCTCCCTAGCCGCCCCGACGGTCGAATATTCTCTGCGGATACCGCATCCTTGGAAGGCCCTACGCAGGTCTGAGATTCTGCTATTCATCATTTCCCACGCCCTCCAATACCACCACCAACCACAACGACCACCTCTCAATAATCCTCCTCCAAGAGCTGCTTTATCTCCGTCCCTGTTCCTGGAAGGGCCGCTCCCGCGATCTCGGCACCCTCCTAGCTGTTATGAAATCCCCGGTCACCACGGTTGGCCACGCCACCCCCAGGCCAATAGTGAACCCTCTGGTGCTCTCCAGCAACTCCAAATCTTCAGCCTCCAACCATCCTCCGTATGCCGCCCCCGTCCCAATCCCGACCACCATCACTGATCTCTCCACTGCCATCCCTAACCTGAGTCCCATCATCGATCTCACCGTCTCTAACCCGACCCCCACACTTTCCTCACCTGCAGCCCAGGAAGACGTGGTTGGTCCAGGCGGCGGAGAGTGCGAGGAGCTGGTCCAGTGCAGCCCCGGGGTAGCTGTGCAGGTGCCGACAGATGAAGCTGCGTCGCAGAGCCCACTGCCAGTCACTTTCGTGGCTATAGCGCCACTGCTCGAGCACTGGCTCAGGCGGGGGTGGCGGGAGGGGCGGCAGCGGCGGCGGCGGGAGGGGGGGCAGCGGCGGCTGCGACAGGAAGTCGCCCCCCAACAGCAGACGTCCTCCAGCCATCTTCTCCGCCCCCAAACAGGGACCCCAGGGACCAAGCAGACTACTGAGTGCCAGCGAGGGAGCGAGCAAACCAGGGGGACCAGGGGTCGGTGGGAGGGGCTGGTGAGGAGGGGCGCACTGAGGAGCAAAGACCAACTCTCAGGGGACTGGAGTGTGTGCGTGGGAGTGACCGTTAAAAGGAGACCGGGAGCACTAGCTCACGTCCCAACGCTGGGGCGCACACGCGCTGCACTCCAACTGACGGAGGAGCAGAAGGGCTCCCGCTAAACTCACACACGCGTCGGGCAGGCAGAGCCACGTCCCGCGCTCCGCACCCCCACGGATCCGCAGAACCACGCAGTGCGCGTAGAAGGGAGGAAAAAGACACCAGCACGCTGTGCTCCCCCTCCTCTAGCTTCTAGCCTACCTACCCTCGTGCCGCCCTGAGGTTGTGAGGCCAGTGCGCGTGCGCCGCAGCTGTTCCCTAACTTCAAAATCCCGTCGCAGAATCTCGCGCGACGTACTTTTTTCCCCGCCTATGACGACTACCGGCCTTTGACGCACTACAGTTACAAGGGCGGGGACTCCGGAAAGAGGATTTAGGAAGGTTCTCTGAGGTTCGAGAACGCGGTTCTGTTAAATCTCTGGAAGGTGCCCTGAGATAATTGTTGGTAGTCATGCTTCTCCTAACGCTTTTCCCTGGATCTCTGAGCGGTGCGACAGTGAGCTCGTGTCCTTTGGAAGGGATTTAGGCTTGGAATAGATTTTACACTTTTTTAAAAAAGTCTCTCTGAGGTGCGTCTTCTTCAGAGGGTAGCTTGAAAACCTCTGTGCGTCGTGCATCACTGGCTTTGTAGTTTACTGCAAAAACATAGTAAAATGAACACACGTGCAAAGTAAATCATGTACAGCGCCACTTCTCAAGTCCACCACTTCAAAGTCCGTACTGCAAGCCAATTGCTGACAACAATTTAAAAACGTGCAAAATATTACAGAATACAAAAGGAGCCAAAAGAAGAGGGTTAAAGGCAGTGAACGGCTGGATCACTCTGTACCCAAAAGTAACACTCCGCCCTGGATCTGCTCCAGTCAGCAGCCTCAATTCCTATCTGCCAACCTATGCCACTAAAGTAGTTTGTCAGTGAGTGTCTATCACCGGGAATTTACACAGTGCCTACTGTGTGCTCCCTATAATAGGAATGCAAAAGAAAAAATGGTTTTCTCCGTTGTCCCACAATCTTGGTGGGGAGAAATAGCCCTGCATAAAACTGTATGTTCCACCAACTATATGGTCCCACTGGATGAGGTGGCTTTGGCTCATTGCCTTCTTTAACTCTTTAATGACACATTCTTAACTATATGATATGTCTTATAAGTAGGGGTGTATAGGACTGAGAAGAGCAGAGAATAACAGCACTTTTCACAGTTTCATAATTGTTTATTTTTGTGTCTCTCTGTGGTAGACATGCATGTTTGCTGAAGTAATGACAGTCTCTGACCTATTAAAGAATATATTCAAGTTGAATGATGAGCTATTTGCAAAAAAAGAGAAAAAATATCAAAGAATACAATACTAGGAAGCTTAGAGATCATAAATTCAAGTCATCATTATATGAGTGAGAAAAATAAAGCCAGCGAGGTGAAGTGACTTGCTGAAGGCTGTAGAGATAGTTCTTGGCAATGATGAAATCAGACTTTAGGTGTTCCTCCAGTCATTTGCCATTGTTTTGCCCTGTTTTATTTTCTTCACAGCATATATCACCTTGAAATTACTTTTAAGAGTTTGACCCCTCCGCCCCTAGAATGTCAGCTACACGAGAACAGGGAACTCCTGTCTTGCTGTTAGCTCCTACACTTAGCTCCTGTAGGCACTCCATGGATATTTGTTTAATTGAATGAATGAACGAAGGCTCTTCCCGTTGTCCCAATCTAGTGAAATTCACTTTCTCACAGGCTACATTTTAAGCTGATTTGTCATTTTATAATTGGATTAATCTCAGTCTCCTATGGTTTGAATGTGTTCGCGCCAAAATTCAAGTTTTTAAACTTAATGGCCAATGTGATGTATTAAGAGGTGGGGCTTTTAGGAGGTGATTAGGCCATGAGTGCTCCTCCCTCCTGAATGAGATTAAGGCTCTTTTTTTTTTTTTTTTTTTGAGACAGAGTCTTGCTTTGTTGCCCAGGCTAGGGTGAGTGCCATGGCATCAGCCTAACTCACAGCAACCTCAAACTCCTAGGCTCAAGCGATCCTACTGTCTCAGCCTCCCAAGTAGCTGGGACTACGGGCATGCGCCACCATGCCCGGCTAATTTTTTCTATATATATTAGTTGACCAATTAATTTCTTTCTATTTATAGTAGAGATGGGGTCTTGCTCAGGCTGGTTTCGAACTCCTGACCTTGAGCAATCCGCCTGACTCCGCCTCCCAGAATGCTAGGATTACAGGCGTGAGCCACCGCCCCCGGCCAGAGATTAAGGCTCTTATAAAATAACCTTCATGCAGCATTTGGTCAATCACTTGCCCTTGGCCTTCCCCTATGTGCGGGCTTAGCATTCCTCCCCTTGGAGGATGTGGCAACAAGACACCATCTTGGAAGCAGAGAGCAGCCTTTACCAGACACCTAAACCTGCTGGTGCCTTGATCTTGAGAAATAAAGAATCCCTGAACCGTGAGAAATAAATTGTCTATTCTTTTTTCTTCTTCTTCTTTTTGACAGAGTCTCACTCTGTTGCCCGAGCTAGAGTGCTGAGGCATCAGCCTAGCTCACAGCAACCTCAAACTCCTGGGCTCAAGCAATCCTGCCTCAGCCTCCTGAGAAGCTGGGACTACAGGCACGTGCCACCATGCCCAGCTAATTTATTTTATATTTATTTTTAGTTGGCCAATTAATTTCTTTCTATTTTTAGTAGAGACGGGGGTCTGCCTCTTGCTCATGCTGGTTTTGAACTCCTGACCTTGAGCGATCCTCCCTCCTCGGCCTCCCAGAGTGCTAGGATTATAGGCGTGAGCCACCGCGCCCGGCCAATGTCTATTCTCTAAGTTACCCAGTCTGAAATATTTTGTTATAGCAGCACAAATGGTCTAAGAGACAGCCTAGGCTGCCAACTTTTATCAAAATCAGCACTGTAGTTAATATACATCTTTCCTACAAAACAATCTGAGACAAAGAAAAACTACTTTCTCTCAGCTTGGATTAAAACTATTCTGTCCTATAGAAATAAATCATTGCAATCTGACTTTTGAACTTAAATTACACAATGAAAGGCAATGAAACCGATGATGTAAGAGGCCATTTGCTCTGGAACAGCCATAACTGGATTCTATTTGTAATTCCCACTATGGAATAAACAGTTTCATTTCCAGAAAACAATGCAAAACAAAAATTTCTATGATTCTCCATGAACTCCTTGCCCTGGTATCCTTCTGATTAAAAAATGCTTCAGCCAATCTATTTTAGCCCATTACTTTCTCAGTAAGCAGGAGTTGAAACCTCTAAGCAGAAATATATTATCTGAATACATGTTGAAGACAGCTGTTGGTGTAAAAGGAGAGGTGTAGGTGTAGATGACAAAGGCAGCCATTGCGATTCTAAAACAATCTAGGAACTTCCGGTGATGATCCATCCTTTTCCACTCCATAATCTTTCTCTGCTGTAACACAGGCTCCTGCCATTGTCTTTATAGTAGCCACACACACACCTCCTTTGACTGCCCTGACGTTTCCTTCCCTGCCCTTTCCTATAGGGGAGTCACTAAACAGTGAAAGGAGGGATACATGGAACCTGACTAAACACCACTCCCCTAAACTATCCCAGATATTAGATCACCAATAGTTCTTGACCAGAGTACTTCGCATCACAATATGCTCTTTAGGAATGTTTACTAACACATTAAAAAACAATAGGAGCTCTCACTGGCCAAATCTAGGCAATTTGAGCACCAAAATAATTAAGAACAGTAATGAATTATTAAGCCATTGAAAAACAGGAAGCCATAATTCATGGTGATACTAAATAGATAAATAAATGAGAAAGGTAGGACTCTTGCTTACAGTAGAATTCTGTGTGCTGACCAGTAAATATGGAGGGAGTGCTGGAATTGGAAAATCACCATTTTTGTAGATTAGTTCAGGCAAGAATTATCAATAGATGCTAAATCTAGGGGTACATTTTTTTTTTTTTTGAGACAGAGTCTCGCTTGTTGACTAGGCTAGAGTGAGTGCCGTGGCGTCAGCCTAGCTCACAGCAACCTCAATCTCCTGGGCTCAAGCAATCCTTCTGCCTCAGCCTCCCGAGTAGCTGGGACTACAGACATGTGCCACCATGCCCGGCTAATTTTCTATATATATTAGTTGGCCAATTAATTTCTTTCTATTTTTTTATAGTAGAGACGGGGTCTTGCTCTTGCTCAGGCTGGTTTCGAACTCCTGACCTCAAGCAATCCGCCCGCCTCAGCCTCCCAGAGTGCTAGGATTACAGGCGTGAGCCACCGCGCCCGGCTTAGGGGTACATTTTTGATGAAGAATAATACATTTGCATGGACTTACAGTTTCTCCTCACAGATTGTTTATTAGTAGCAATGAAGAAAAAAACTCAATAATTATATTGTGGAGAAATCGGGCAACACCTTGACCTAAAATGACAACATTCTCTTTTTTAAATAGGACTTCAAAAGTATCAATGTCATAAAAGACAAAGAAAAGCTGTTCCAAATGAAAGGAGATTAAAAAGACAGGACATAATGCATGAACCTATACTAGATTCTGCACTGCAAGAAAAGAGAGCTAAAGGATATTACTTGATATATTGAAGTCGTGTTACAATGTGAAAGTTACCAAAGTTGAGAAATGTCTGTGATTATGTAAGAGAATATCCTTATTATCTGTATGTATGTATGTGTGTGTATATATGTATGTATGTGTGTGTGTATATATATATATATATATATGAAGGGCACAAAAATGATAAAGCAATTGGGACAAAATCGTATCAATTGGTGGACCTGGATCAAGAGTATGTGAGTATATTTGTACTATTCTTGTAACTTAATTTCAAAATTAGTCCTTTGAAAAGGGCAATAGCTCCCCACATTGGTAAAGAATATAAATCTAGCTCTGTCTACTAAAACTCCAGCCATTTGTCTTTATTTCTGATTTCTTTGGACAGGCCAGTTGCTTCTAACACTTTTAGGCTCGATGATGCATAAATAAGCACAGAAATGCATTAAGAGGTGGGATCAACAAAATAGCCCATAGGCCAAATCTGGCCCCCTGCCTGTATTGTCTGACTCTTGCACTAAGAATGGTTTTTACATTTGTTAATGGTTGGAAAAACTCCAAAGAATAACTCAGGATATGTGCAAAGCATATGAAATTCAAATTTCGTATTCACAAGTAAATTTGATTGGAGCACAGCCACACTCATTCTTTTACGTATTATCTATGGCTGCTTTTGTGCTAGAGTAACAGTTGTATAGTTGCGGAGATCACGTGGCTTGCAAAGCCTAAAATATTTACCAGCTGGCCCTTTACAGAAAGTTTGCTGACTCTTGGCCTAAAGCAATGGTTCTTCACATGGGGCGATTTTAACATTTTGGCATGTCTGGAAACATTTTTGGTTGTTGCAACTGTGGGAACTGGGGAAGGTGTGCTACTGACACCTAGTGGGTAGAGGCCAGGGACGCTGCTAAACATCCTGTAACAAAGTTATCTGGCCCCAAATGTTCATAGTGCTGAGATTGAGAATCCCTGGATTAGAGGACCCTAAGGTGAAGACTTTCTAGTATGGGAAAACTCCATCCCTACTAAGGGATCCCATTTATTGAACGCCAGGTCTTTAACTTGCATTATTGGCTCAGATAGCCTTCACGATGACCCTACAAGGGAGCTATTGATATTCTCCTTTCCTAGAGAAGTTTTTAACACAACTTGCCCCAGAGCACACAGCTAGGAGTCTGCCTGTCTCCAGAGCTTGTATTTTTCCATAACCTTAGTGTTTGCCTCTACTGTGAGGTCACAAGTGATTACTGTCTCACTGCGTTGCCACCTAGTGTTCGTGCTGCATACAGATAGGCCAATGTCCCTTCCCTGGGTACTCCTTCAGAGGCCTCTAGGACTCCACACAGAAGATGCAGATCACTCATCCTGATTTAAGCATCTGGAGTTAGGGAAACAAAGCTGAGGAAAGGAAACCCCACCTCACCTGCAACCAGAGTTCTGAAAGCTGACCACTCTCCCTCTTGCCCACTTTAATGCTTGGGGGAACAGAAGGCTTCCCTCTCTGGTAGACTCAGGACACAAAATACCACTTGGTATCTATGGAACACTTTTCTAGTCATAAAGAACAGTCCTATCCATGAATTTGGGGTGGTGGTGCTCACATCACAGAATTAAATGAGAAGACATGTAGCGCAGTGTTCTTTTCCTTCCAGAATTAAAACTCACCTGAATCTTGTTCTGTAGGATCTAGTGTTCCACTTCCTCCATCTAATATCCTAGATAATAATTAGCTCAACGGATCAACGAAATCCATGATAATAAAGTAGAGGACTTCCTGCTTACCTGCACCTGGTGGGAATTTCAGGCCCAGATGGAGGAACGGGGAGGCACAGCAACCCACCCAGGAAGATCACATAGGCTGGTGGTGCCTCCCTGAGCCCTTCAAATCAACCACTTGGGAGCCCTTCAAAGCCACCCACACCTCCCAAGGAAAACCATGGTGGGCCAAACACCTAATGGTTTAGGATCAGATCACACAGCCATTTAGCATTTCTTTGAATTTTATTGAAAATTGACATGGACATTAGAAAGGCATCAAGCTAAACATTGCTGGTTCTGGGATGTTTCTCCTGGAGAATGAAAGCCCCAGAGGGGCAGTGACTGGTCACACCTTTGAGCAAAAAGAACAAAGGAGAAGAAAGGAAAAACAAATAGATTCTGGAAAACATGCAAAGAGGCTCTCTCAAGAGACACTGGACAGCAGAATGGTGGTGATGGTGGTAGGGATATATGGTAATGAGCACACTCACATGGTATTTTGATGCAAGTTAAACCAATGAATTCAAGGCAGATTTATCAACAACAAAGCTCTCCCTCCAGATCCCAGGTTAAGCAGAAACCTCTCAAAACCCCAACTGGCCTTGGGAAGTTGAATGGCGTAATTTTGCTCTAACTAAGTTTAAACCCCCTTTTATTCTCTCCCTTCTCCACCTGAATGTTAGTGGATCCATTTTTCCCCCTCGCTGGGGTCTGCAGAAGGTCTGTGAATGCTGAAGAAGATACGAATGTCATTTGACTTACTCCTCCATATTTAGAAAAGTTTAATGGTGGCCTTAGACAGTCAACCCATTGAACAAGAGAACTGTTGTTTAAAAAGAAAAACATAAAACTCAAACAAAAAGTTGTGAATAGCACTTCCACACCCAGCTGGGGTATCCTGCCCCAGTCACTTACACTTGGGTGAGTGGTCCTGTAGTTGTCTCTTTGAGGTTACATTTGGTCCATTTTCCAGCTCTGGTGGTTCTTTTCCTGCCTCGTTAGTTTAGGACAAGACATTTCCATTTAAAATACCATGTAAGTCAGAAGAGAGCTTCTTGCCTGGACACAGGGACACATGAACACTTGTTGAGTGGTTTGTGTGTGTGTGCACGCAGTTTGAGGGGAGAGGGAATTGGATGATTTCTGGTTTGAGACAATATGGAACCCTAACTCTTCTATAATGGCAGTCTTCTCCTTTAGACTTAGTGCAGTTGCTGAAGACAAGATTAAAAAAAGCTGGAGAGGGAGAGAGAAAGAGAAAGAAAACATGAAATTAGCCAAAGAAAAAGGACATTCAAAGTAAGACAGGGGGCGGGGAGTTGGCAGTGTGAGGTAGCACAGATTATACTTTGAGAAGACAGGTTAGAAATGAGGGTCACCGATGGGCCATTACCATGGGGAAATCTGCTGAGAAGGTTTTAAGAACACCACACACCGGTTTAAAGCTTCTTGTTTTAATTAAAAACAAGCACATATTAACAGCCACATGTGAATGCCAAATGATTAAAACAAAAAACAAAACAAGAGCAATCTGCACTGTAGCTAGGCAAAGCAAACTTCTTGGCTTAAGAGAAATGAGGGGTGCGTGCATTTCAGAAAAGCCATTCCAGTCTGGCAAAATAAAAGCACAGACCATTTCTAATGACTGGTTTTGTTTCACCAGAAGTAAACAGAGTACTTAGGGTATTTTTTAAAAACAGTAACAATTGTACTAATTAAAAAGCCTTTTCATTGAAGAAGGGAAGGCCTTTCTGTCTACAGTGAGAAAAGCTACCCAGTGAAATAAGCATTTTAATTCTTTTCGTAGGCATGATCAGCTTTCTAAAGGCCTTATGCTCACTCACAGGCACTGGACCCCATTCTAGCCTTGCAGGAAAGCTGACTGGCTAGCAGGTGCCCCGTGACTCCCCTATGGAGCTAGCCCAGAACCTCTGCTTTCCCTGCCCCCCTCGCACTCCAACCTCAAATGTTTTTCTGGGGAGAAAAAAACCTCAGGTCTTCTAATACTGACTGTTTGGTTTCTCAGAACATCAAAAGTCCTTGTCTCCAGGAAGGTTATATAAACCAGCTGAATCCCTATGTGAAACGGATTAGGAGTCAAGAGGCGTGGATTTTGGCCTGGCTTCTGCCACAATGCAGCAGTGGGACCTCCGTCCAGTCCCTTCACCTCTCTGGGCCTCAGCTTCCTCTTACGGAATAAGTGGGTTGTATCTGTCTTACTGACCAAAATGTCTCTTCATAAAAAATTCCTGTTCCGTTTCTGCCAGTCTCTCAAAGGCTGTGAAGGCTCTAATATTTTTGAAGTATTCACAGCTCCTCAAGCCTCAAGTAGTTAATCTGTAAACAAATGCAAATGAGGTGGCCTCAGGTTTGTAATGCAAATAATGACCCAGAGGGATGGTGATTACTCATTGGTTGTTTAAGTGTGGGCCTCTGGGAAAACAGCTCTGAAGATGGATAGAGAAATATCAAAGCTACAAATAAGTAAGTAGCCTCTCCCAAGGAGACCTGACCGCCCTCACTCAACATCTCTCTGAGCTACTGGCTGAGTACTCCAGTGGGCTTTTTTTTTTTGGCTTGTTTTTTTTTTTTTTTTTTTTTGTTTATGGAGGATGGGGTTGTTTTTACGTCCAAATAGACGGCCTTTAAATAGCTCCACTCTGATTTAGATTTTCCCAAGAAACTAGCTTTCTGCTTTGGCAGCATCACCTTCATACTTGCCTCTCTGCCCACTAACCAATCAGTGATTACCAAACAGTACATATCAAAACTGCACTCTTGCTTTGCCAACAAAAGAAAGTGTGTGCATATGTTTGCTTCTCATTTTTTCAGCTTTTTCCTTTTTTTTTTTTTTTTTTTTTTTTTGCTGCTTCCTATTATTGTCTATTATTGAAGAGAGAAACCTTTTTCCCCTTCTCAACACTTCAAAAAGGCCTGGAAATTTGCCATAGCCTTGTTTGCCTGTGTGCTTTGAAAGTAACTGATCAAAAAAAAAAAAAAAAAAAAAACAAAACAAAACTCAAAAAAAAAAAAAAAAGAAGAAGAAGAAGATGGTCACGGTCAGTGCCCAGTGGGACTGCGAGGCAGGAGCAAGTTGTAGAACTCAAAAAGAAGAAGTGGGACTTGAAGTACATGGCAGGAGTGGGGGGGGCCTGGCTGTCTGGCACCCCAAAGGAAAGCTGTCAGTTAAAATAGGAACCTTGGCTTAAAAGGCTAAATGGAGTCCAGTCCAGCTGTAGCAGGGAATATTATTCAGTACACAGCCATGGATTACTGCAAAGGAAGGGCAGAGAGACTGCATGTTAGCCATAGATCATTGCCAGGTCACCTCCAGCTCTCACTTTGTCACTGGCCAAACACCAAAGGCCACTGTGCCTCATGGCCCTGACAATGGAGGGCTCTTTATTCAAAAGGGTTCCCAAAGCCACTATCAGATGGGACCCATTATAAAAATGAGGGCTGGAATATTTTTAAAATATCAACTCATTAGACTGGAAATAAAGTTAAGGACCTTCCAAGGCAGAACACATTTTTTTTTTTTTTTTTTGAGACAGAGTCTCACTCTGTTGCCCGGGCTAGAGTGCCATCAGCCTAACTCACAGCAACCTCAAACTCCTGGGCTCAAGCAATCCTTCTGCCTCAGCCTCCCGAGTAGCTGGGACTACAGGCATGCACCCATGCCCGGCTAAGTTTTTATATATGCTTTTAGTTGTCCAGCTAATTTGTTTCTATTTTCTTAGTAGAGACAGGGTCTTGCTCTTGCTCAAGCAGGTCTCGAACTCCTGAGCTCAAACAACCCGCCTGCCTTGGCCTCCCAGAGTGCTAGGATTACAAGCCTGAGCCATCATGCCTGGCCAGAACACATCTTTTCTTCTCTCTAGCTGATAGTTGCATTTGTTCTTATTGGAGGAAGTGTGCAAAATGCATATTGAAAATCATCATCGCATTCACCAAGTAGACTAGAAGATTCATGAGAGCAAACACCAAAACACTTGAATCTTTGATAGCTCAGTTTGCCAGTTTTTGAAGTGGGATTATTATTCCTAGTACTGCCCCAGAGTTAGAGTGGAAATTTATGCTACTTTCTCCAGCAGTTGTGTTTTATGGTAAGGGCTTGATGTAAACAAACTTGTTGCAGATTTGTAACACAGTTCGAATGCAGTTACTTTGAGTGAATGAAAACTGGAAAGGGCTGGGCTAAAAGGCCAGAAGAAAAAAGCAGCAAAGTATCTCCTCTTGGAACCCTCTGAGAAGGGGCTGTGGCTCCTGAGGACAGGGGTGGAGTGGGCCAGGGGAGACCCGTGAGACTAAGGAGGTAGCCGTGCTGACTGGTGCTTACCCAGCCATGGTGGATACAAATACCTCAGAGAAACAAGCAGCAATCAGAGTTCAGACAGGGAAGTTTGTGTGAAGAGTAGCAGATGTGGCCCCTGAACACGTTACAGTCTGGCAAAGATGGCGGCGAGGTGGGAAGGGACGGCTGGGGGTGCAGGGAGTGGGACGGAGATGCAGGATGCATCTCTAAGCCATGTCACTGCTGGCTTCTTGACCAGAGGCCATACATCGTCCTCAGACTCTCAGGCTTCTATAAACCTTGGCAGGAAGAGAGGGGAGGGCACAGGTTTTATGCAGTCTCAGACGTGTTAAGGGGGAAATTAAAGAAAGGGAGGCCCAGCTCTGTTGCGCAGGAAAAGGGCGTCTACAGGAAGCCCAAACTGAAAATGAAAAGAGAAGTTGGGTTAATGAATGGATGGGTTAATGTACCCCCAAAAAGGCCAGAAGAAAACTATTTAAGTCATGATGACTAATGGATAAATTAGAATATAGCTGTTAGATGGTCTTAAGGGCTTATTGCATTGGCTCATGGGAACATGCTTTCTTTCTCGTACACCCACACACACTCGAACAATGGCTATAGTGGCATTAGCTAGCAAAATAATGATCAACAACCATAAAAATACTTTGTATCTCTTAATTACTAGGTCCTAAATAATATCCCCTCCACACACCACCACCCAGATTCCTTGAGCAGGAATACCTTCTGCGAATCTCCAGGTGGCCTAAGGCTACTGGACAGAGCCCCTGTCTCTCAGCCACTGTTATTTCCAGTCCCATAGGGAAAGCATCGGGAGCTGAGGTTTCTATTCTGGTGGCCTTCAGAACTGTCCTGGTCAGCTAACTAGTACCTGGGGCAAGACCTGTTTGCAAAGCATCTAGGGATGGTTACTGGGCTCTGCTCTCAGGGTCCAGACCACAATTACCTGAAAACTTGAACTATGGAAACCCATTCTTGGTTTGTGTTCACCTAGTACTTTGACTTTTTGCTCATGTAAACTTCATCCCTGTGACAGAAATAAGGCAAGTAGTATCATCCCCATTTGACATATTAAGAGACTGAGAAACAGAAGTCAACCAACTCTCCCGTGGTCACAAAGAGTCAAGCTGGGATCAGAGCTGTTGAATTAAGGCTCTTTCCATCATACCACAGTGTCCCTGAGAACTCCTTGGTTGTGGATCTAAGGCCCTGTTTATTGCCCAAAGAATACATTTATCTCATTAAATAAAGACTATTAAATATTTGGGGGGATACTTAGAAGTAATATGCATATATGAGTAAGTTTTACAGTGAACCCTGAAAGTGAATACACTCCCCCACATCCACACCCACATACATGCACACTCTTTGGGAATACACACACACTCGGATGACTGGCAACTTGTACCAGGAATTAGGAATTGTGCATTCTTGTCCCCGTTCTGCCACTAACTCACTGTGTGGTTTTTGAGTAAGTCGCTCAAATTCCCTCATTCTCCATTTATTCATCTTGTAAACTGACGATTTCTCTACCTCACAGAACTGTTGTAAGAATAAAATCAGATATCATATGCAAAGATAGTTTTGAAAAGTAATAAATGCTCACCTCTTATTTTATACTTTGTCTAGTTCTTAGGGGAAACGTAACCTAAAAAAACACTGCAATGGCCTATGTTCTGGGCTTCACAGGAAGGCTGATATATTTTGATATGTATATTTTGTCCATATAGTATACACTGCCCCCACCAAGAACCAAGAACCATTGAGACAGTATCTGTGGCTGTATAGAGGTCACAAAGGAATTTCTCTTACAATTGTGGACAGCTACAAGTAGTGCCTCAAAGTGCCTTAAAACTAAGGAGGAACAGTAAGCCTCTCTGATCCATCTCTCGAATGAAGGCTTTGGGGAACAGGTGGATTG